CCCCCCCCAATTCATCTCCCTGTAGGTGCTGGAGGAAGCTCTGGCCACCATTTTGCTGCTCTGCTGGGATATTTTTTCTGGGTGGCTGTGAGCGGTGGGGGTGGGGTGCCGAGTGCGGCCTGCCCGGCGTGCGCTGCCGCCGACTGCGGCTCAGATTAGCTGTCGTCCTGTCCCCTGCCACCTCTGTGCCCCTTTTGGGGGGTAAAAACCTTAAAGTGAAAGGAAAGAGGTGTAAAAAAAAAAAAGAGGGAGAGAAGAAAAAAAGCACCGTCTTGACAGAGGTGGGGGAGACCCCAATTCCTTTAAAATTCTGGCGTGCAGCAAAACCATCTAGGCTGGGAAAAAAATAGGACTGAGGAAACGGGAGAAAGCTTTTTTCCCTTGGGAATCAACTACAAAGACTGGGCGTTGAGGTTGGGAGCGCGCCTTTCGAAACGACAGATATCGCAGGTATGCGTCGGCAATAATAATAATTGATAAGGAAGAGCGACGCACCGGTACTGCCCTGCTCCCCCTCCTCGGCGCCCCCAGTAAAATAATACCAACCAAGTCTCCTTGTATTTATATCCCTGCGTGTCTGTGTGTGGCCTAGCCCCATTCATCATTTGGCTCCCACTGCAGAACTCGCTCCATTTTTAAAATTATGCATGATACACTGAAGAGACAATTTGGGTTTCCCCCACCTCTCCCTTGCCCTTGAAGAAAGCAAGCCCTTGTCTCATTTGCATTTGCATTAAACCCCTGCTCTCTATAAGCTAAGCAAAGGGGAAGGACTTGAAGCCTATGGGATGGCTTTAGGGCTCTGCCCCTTGCTTTTGGCTCTCTCTCTCTCTCTTTCTCATTCTCTCTCGTGCTTTGATCTCTGCTTAACAACAGTAACGTCACAGGACTATACAGGAGAGTTTTGTTGGAAGTTAGAAAGTTTTGCAGCCTCCAGAGGGCTGTAGCGGCAGTAGCAGAAGCAGCATCCAAGGGACTCCTGGAAGGGGAAGAGAGGGAGCGAGCGAGCGACTGACTCAGTCCTGCTGCAGAAAAACTGACTCGAGACGACGGAGGCAGACATGGAACATCAGCTGCTGTGCTGCGAGGTGGAGACCATCCGACGAGCCTACCTAGACGCCAACCTCCTCAATGACAGGGTGCTGCAGACAATGCTGAAGGCGGAGGAGACCTGCTCGCCCTCCGTCTCCTACTTCAAGTGCGTGCAGAAAGAAATCTTGCCATATATGAGGAAAATAGTCGCCACTTGGATGTTGGAGGTTTGTAGCTTTCGGCGATTTTTTGCTCGGCGAGCTTCGGCGGCACCGAAATGAATTAACCCAAGGAGCGGCCCCCCCAGCTCCTCCCGCCCCCCCCCCCCAGTTAAGCTCCCCGGCGCGGCACACGTTGCTCTGCCTTCGGAGACGCCCGCGTGTAACGAGGGGACGGGGCCCGGGTTTCCCGATCCCC